GACCCCTAAAAGAAACCCTGTACCCATTAGCAGCCGATTTGTGTTCTCTTCCACCCACTCCTGGCAACCACCAGTCCACTTTCTGCCTCTATGATTTTGCCTGTTCCTGACATTTCATATAAATGGAATCATATAAGATGTGGCCTTTTTGTATTTGGCTTCTTTCACTTAGCATGATGTTTTCATTCACATGGTAATGTGTGTCAGTACCAATCTTTTTATGGCTGAGGAATATTCCATTGAATAGATGTACACTTCGTTTATCCACTCATCTATTGATGGGCATTTGGTGTTTGCACCTTGCACCTATTATGAATAGTGCTGCTGTGGACAGAGCTACCTAGACAAGTCTGTGTGTCAGTTTTCTTGAGGGTATTCGCAGGATTGGAATCCTGGATGGTGTGGTAACTGCCAGGCCTTCTTAAAACTTTAGTCTGGACTGGGCAGGGTGTGGCTTCCACTGCATCCTATAGGCTAAAGTGAGTTTCAGGCCCCACCCAGGGTCAAGGGGAGGGGCTGATACAGGGCCTGACCAGAGGAGTTCATCAGGGTCCTCATGTGAAGCCCTCAGTAGGGAACCTGACATGTAGTAGGTACTCAGTAAATGTTATTCTCTGTAGTTATTCTCATTATTATTATTATTATTATTATTATTAAGAATAATACAAAACGGGGGCAATAAGGAACACACAAACTGTTAGGACTTAGATTGACATCCGTTAGTCAGCCTGATAGCAAATCTATCTTTAGGATTTGGGAGATTGTGGGCACACTTCAGATAAGCATGACCTGAGTCAGAAGATGAGAACCTGAGGCTACTAGAGGTCAGAATAATCCGGCACTGGATGAGATGACCAGAAGGCACCACAAGTTCATTGTAGAAAATGTGGAACTGCAGGCAAAAGTATCAGAAGAAAAATCACCTGTTGTACCTGTCAGAGACAACTACTGTAGATATTTTGGTTTCTTCCCTTTCAGTATTTTTCTATGCATCATGTATATAAGTATATATATTTAATAAAACTAAAATTAAGATCATGTATATAGTTTATATGTTGCATTTTTATCACTTAGTATTAAATTGGGAGAAGTTTTCCATGTTTTTCAATACTGGTTTTTAATGGCTATATTATCTATCTTATCTACCTATATATTCTTTTTATTTTCAAAGTTTAATCTACAGTAATATACAGCTTGGTGAGTTTCTACGTGTGCATACACCCATAAGACCACTACCTCAGTTGGAGTTATCAATTCCTTTGATCTCTCCCATCTATAACCCTCCCATTTTCATGAATTGACCCCCAGTTTATTCACATACTCCCCTATTACTAGATACTTAGGTTGCTTCCACTCTTTTGCTCTTAAAATTGTTGCTGCTGTGACCTCCCTTGTACATATATACACATTTATCTGCATCTGATTGCTTCCTTTGGAAAAATATCTAGAAGTTATGAAACATAGGGTCAGAGGGTATGAGCATATAGAAACACTCTCAATTGAAGTGCTGCCTCCTTGTCAAACATCTTTCCTGGTCTGCCTGTCAAGAATGGGTTTTCCCCACCTTACGGCTCCTGCTGCACTTTGCTCAGACAGTACAATTAGAGTATTGTATTAATGGGACCCCAACTTTATTCCAGTGCTTGGCTTCAAAACTAGATCCTCTGGAGCAGGCTTTATTCATCTTTGTATCCCCGTTTGAAAACACAATAAAAATTGTGTTGTCCCGTCTCTCTTTGAAGGCCTTTCTAAAACCATGACATTTCAGGGGCTTTTCAAAACTTGAAATTGGTTTTACTTTTGAAGTAAACAGGACTTGCTGCAAAGCCAAGCAGAACTCTGAAACCTATCTCTAGGTACTCTGAGATCATTGATATGGTTGAATGAGTTAATATGAGAGTGTTTTTTAAAAATTTACACCAGACTGTTAAACTCTGAGCAAACATAGTGAGGTGGTGAATTTGTTCATGTTTGTTTTTCCTATTAATCACTGGAACGCTCACATACATTACTGGGATAAGTCCAGTCATTTCCTCTACTTTAAATTGCCCACCTCCCAGGGGTTTGTGTTGAAAGGTACAGCTGCTTTCCCTTCAGGAATGAGTCTGCCTAATGCGTTCTTGCTGTTGCTCCTTGCCATCACATGGTGTCGCTGTTGAACACTTGTCCTGTGCAGTTGTGGGGAGCCGTCCAGTTCTTCCTTCTATGATGCCCTTGCTTGTCTGCCAATGGAGGACAAGTCCCCTCCCTCACTGCCAGGATTGCCTGGACATGCTCTGCACTCAGGTTCTGAAACTACATTCCCTCCCACTTGCATGGCAAGAGCATGCCATGGACTCAGGGCCACTTCTCTCCCTAATCTTTGGGCTGCCTCACTAAGAAATGAGGCAGCTTTTCCAAGGGCATTTCAAGCACAAAAGATCTTGTCCTCTCAGATTGGTGGAGCCAGTGGTCTCTGTATCTAAGTTAAGGGACATTATCACGGAGGGAGAACCATTACATTACAGAAGAGGATTTACCTTGAGCTCCATCTTTGCATAACATTTCAAGTATCTTCTTGAAAGCAGAATGTTGGATAGATGACCTTCAGTATCTTATCATGGACTTAAGTGAAGCTGCTAACTTTTTCAAAATTCCTGTTCAGTGATGATCTTTCTTTACCATAACGAGCATGCTTTGTATATTCAGTAAGTCCTCAATGTTGTAAGTTCTGTGACTTTAAGCAAAACGATGTATAATGAGACCAGTTTTAGCATAAGCTTAATTGATAAAAACGAGTGAAGTTCCTACGGTGTCTCATTGTTACAACGAAAATATCATTTTGTTACTTTATTCAAGGACATGCTGTATGTTAAATATGGAATGAAACTGTGTGTCCATATGCATCCTCATGTATAGAAAGTATTTATTATATAGAATTTTTTTTTCATTATTTATTGAGCCCCCACTGTGTGCCAGGTCTGTGGAACTGAACTGTATAAATATGTCTGGGTATGTGTATTCAGCTGCCGTGTATCTGATGAGACATTCACTTATTTCACAAATATTTAATAAGCATTTTTCTATCTACTGGGGACAAGGAGTTGAATTAGTGCCCTGGTGGAGCTCATAGTCATCTTAATGTTTCTTCTTAGTTTAAAAAGAGCAGGTAAGTTGAGTGCTTTCCAGGGTTTTCTTTTTTTTTTTTTTAGCTGAGCCATTCTGCTACCTATTGGCAGCTCAGCGGCTGCTCAGCTCGGGCTAGACTCGAACCGCTGTTGCTCACAGCTCAAACTCTTGAGCGAGCTCTTAACCAACTGAGCCACTCGGCCGGCCCTTTTCCAGGGTTTTCTTAATTAACCTGACCCATGCAAAACAAATTGCTTATTCCTTGATTTAAAAAAATAAAAAAGATACTGTACATCTAGTTAGAAATTTAAAAGAGAGGCAGGACCAGATTATACTTGGGGGAGAAGCTTGTTTATTTTGCTTACCTGAAGTGAGAAAAGAATATCTCCAAGTGGGCAGATTTCCAACTTGGATCATGTACACAAAACACCTCATTCTAAGAAGAGTGAGTGACTGAACAAAGTATTTTGCCCGTGTTTATTTTCTCCTACAAGTGTGATGTGAAACTTTTCACATGTGCAGAAGCAAGCAGCCGCAACCACGTGCGGAAACAGCCGTTTTTGCAAATAAAAATGCTTCCCAGGAGCATGACAAATGCAAGACTAACAGGTGTAGGACAGATCCAAGGCGCACATGCGGTTCTCATCAACTGCCTCTCTTCTGTTTTAAATCTAGGTCTTCCTGTAACAAGGAAAAGTTATTTCTCCTGAGGCTGCCACTAATAATCCACTCAGCCTGCCTTTCCACAACCCTTTTCTCATAACACTATTTCTAATAGAGCTTCCAGAGAGGGGAGACAGCAATGAAAGAAGGCAGTAAGGGGGTGGGGGAGCTTTAGACTTGACATTAGCAGTTCTGTGTTTAACCTATAACTCATGATGACTCTGGACCTCAGTTTTCTCCTTTGAGAAATGTTTGGTTCAGAGAATGAGGGTTTCAGTTTTCCAGCCTTTCCACGCCCAGCAGGGTCTTTTAAACCAGTGGTTGTCAACGGGGCGATTCTCCCTAACGGGGGACATCAGGCAATGACTGGAGACATTTTTTGGTTGTCGCCCCTGGAGAAGGGTGCTACTGGCATCTAGTGGGTAGACGCCAGGGATGCTACTCAACACTTTTTACAGGACGGCCCTACAAGAGTGATCCGGCTCCAAATGTTAATGGGGCACAGGTGTGTAACCTTGGGGTCGGCTCACGGGGCTGGTTTGGGGGCTTTCACAGCTGGGATGGCGGCTCTTCCGAGAGGTGCTTCACTGTCTCATGTTTTCGGGACCCGGGCCAGCGAGGTGCTGCAGACCCCCGCCCTCTGGAGTGGACCAGAACTGGGACATCCCCTGGAACCCCTCGGTTATACCCAGGCCCGCGCAGCATCACAACGTGGACGTCCGTCTCTCTCGTCCCCAGGAACACCGATCGAGGGGGTGGGAAGGACCCCGGGTTTTGGAAAACTTGGCAGCTTTTCTCGCCCGCGACCCCTGTCACCTCTGTCAGCGCAAGGAAGGCTTTTCTCCCAGAAGAGGGGTCCTGCCGCCGCCCTCCTCGCTCCGTGGACCTGAGGCGGCACCCGCAGCACCGAGTTCAAGGACTCCGCGAGCATCTCGCGTTTGGGTCGGAAACCTCAGCATCCTCAACCCGGGTGGGGGCGGGGCCTCCAGGCGGCGACCGTTGCCCCGCCCAAGCGTTTCCCAACGGCTCCCTGGGCCGAACAGGGGGCAAAAACTGCGCTGTGGGCGAGTGCGCCTGCGTGCGCATGCGTAAAAGGGACGGGGCGTGGTCCACGCGTGGCCCCGCCCGGTCTCGGCGTCTCCGCCCGCCCCATCTCCCAACCTCCTCAGCGTGGCGCCGACGCTGCGTGCGGCGCGGGTTACCCAGAGTGCTCCGCGCTGGGGCCGCTCACTGGAGTTTGGTTCTCGAGGCGGCGGCAGCAGCGGCGGCGGCTCCGGCGGCTCCTCCTCCTCCTGCGGTGGCGGCGGCGCCCCGGGCCCGAGCCCCGGCTCCGGCTCCCATCTCCGCCACCCCGCGCGCCCCCTCCTCTCCCGGCGCCGCGGGGAACATGAAGCTCCGTTCCCGGAGGCCGGCGAGTGAGTGACCCCCGTCCCCCGCCTCAGCCCGCCCGCCCGCTGGCCCGGCCGCTCCCCCCCGCCTCGCCCAGGCAATGACAGCGGCTCCGGCGTCTCCGCAGCAGATCAGGGACCGGCTGCTGCAGGCCATCGACCCCCAGAGTAACGTAAGTACCTGCCGCGCGGGCCAGGACCGAGGCCTCGTGGGCCTGGGACCCTCCTCCTCCTCAGTGCCCCTCACTCTCGGGGCTCCCGGGTACCCGCCCGAGGCCCACCTCCCCCTGAGGGCCGCTGCCATCCCAGCCTCTCGCCTCCCGGACCTGGACCGGGGTCAGGTCGGGCAGCCTGGCGGCGCTCGGTACGTGAGGCCGAGGCTTCCGTGCGGCCTGGGCGGAGGGTAGAGACGTTAGCTGAGGCCAGAGCTGTTCTTTCCCTCCTGCTCGAGTTCTATGACCCTTGTTGCTTCTGTCGGAGCTTACCCACCTCCCCTTCTCCCAAGACCTGAGACCCCCA